TCTTGAATTACAACCTGATTTCCATTTTGTGTAAAAATTAAAAACAAATGAGTCTTCACTTACTTTTGTTTGAGTATTTGAATTTGATAAAGACATTATAGAAAAAACTGTTTTTTTTATTTTTCTAGAAAATATAACTTTGTTTTATCATCAGTTCGGCAATGTTTTTATTCTTGCATTTATTTCATCATTACATATCGCCTTATTGAACAAGAAAATAGACAAGAACAACAACAACAACAACAGCAAAAGAAAAAAAAAAATACATTCGATACAAAAATAAATCTTGCCAACGATATCAACAATAAATACTTTATTAAATGGTATGGCTAACGAAATAATGAGTTTAATTAACTATTTTTCTTTTATTTAACTTTAGGTTTTTTAGTTGAACCAGCACCGGCTTTTCCTTTTGGTTTATTATCAGTTGTTGGTCCAGTTTTACGTTTAAGACCTTTGTTAGCAGCTATTGGACTTTCCTAAAAATAAACGTTGAAGAAATAATTTATTGATACATTTTTTTAAAGTATGATTCAAGTAATCACATACAGTTTTTTTAACAGTTGGTACTGCCGTCGAAATAGTACGAGATACTGAAAAGAATGTATCAAGACGACCTTGTTGAGTTGTTGTTCGAGCTTTTATTAATTTTTTTGAACCATTACGAATACGATCTTCACTAGAATAACAATTAAGCATTTTTCGATATTTGGAAATTAATATGTTGTATTAATAATAGTTCTATGTCGTCCCAGGACATCTATTCTATAGATGACTTACGTCAACTAGTTTTTCTCTCTTATAAGTTGCATTGGTTCTTTATTTTTTGTTTTGCATGTATATTTCTTCATTGAAAATATTTTCTCTTTTTATTCCTTACATTTATTCCGTCAAATCATCCCACAGACGGAAAAAACAGCTCTTAAAAAACTGTTGATGTCAAAACTTTGTCATGCTTTACTCTTCGTTCGAGTTCTTTTATTTTCTTACCAAGCCTATTTACTCATTCTTCGTTCTCCATTTTTCTCAATCTTATGAATCATACTATACTTTGTTTTTCTCTTTCTAGAAAAATAAAATATAAATATAAGCGACGAAATTACTTTGTCCTTTACATTTCCTACCGTATTCAATCGTGCTCACAAAAAAACTAAAAAGGTAACATGACTTCGACTTATTACGTTAAAGTATATTATACAAAACAACAACAACAACCAGAAATTCGTCGATTTGCAGTAAGTATACTGTAAATACATTCTGTCAAATAAAATAAAAGAAACTAAATAATTTAGATTGATATTTCACCAAACAATGATAGTTATCAAGAATTATGTACCAAAATTGCAACATATCAACCTGATATTCAATTAAATGGTTTTACACTTCAATATATTGATGAAGAAAATGAACGTATTACATTTAGTTCAAATGAAGAATTACGTTCAGCTATATCATCAAATAAAGATTCTAATTCTCTTAAAATTTTTGTTACTATTAATCAATCTATAAATCAACAAGAAACTACAACGAATAAAGAATCTCATACTGGTGTTGAATGTGACAATTGTAAAGGTCCAATTATTGGTGTTCGTTATAAATGCGCTGTATGTCCAAATTATGATTTATGTGAAAAATGTTCATCATCTGATATTCATTCAGAACATAATATGATTAAAATAACTAAACCAGGAAATTTTTATCATCCTTACGGTTCACGTCAGAATAATCGTCGTTATCGTCATATGTTATCACCACCATTTGTACCAAATGCAGAATTTTTTGAACAAATTCAAACACAAATTCCACAATGGTTACCTAATCGAGAAAATACAGCACATTTTCGTGCTCATATGCAACAACATTTTGATAATATTAAAACAAATACACAAACACAAATGCAAAATTCAAAACAATATCTTGAAAGTGTTGGTCAATATTTACAACAAGCATTATCACCATTTGGTATTGATTGTGATTATCATGTTGATGAAAATACATCATCAACAAGAAATGCTCAACAAGAAACATCAACAAATGAAAATACAATGTCATCGGAACCAAGTGCTGTACCAAAAACTTCAAATACAAATAACCAAACAACGAACAATCAACAACAACAACAAAGAGGAATTTCATCATGGTTAAATATGTTTCGTACTACTGGAACAACCTCATCAACAGCATCAGCTAATAATTCAAATGATGCGTCGCAATCATCATCAACGGAAAAAGCAGTAGAAGAATGTGTTGAAAAAATGAAAGCAATGGGATTTGATGATACAGATGAAAATCTTCTTCAACTTATACGTTCAAAAAATGGTGACCTTATTTCAGTTCTTGATGAAATGAGTACACGTTTACATAACGATTAATTAATCAAATCATTAGAAATGATTAGTAAACATTGTCATTCGTTTTTTCTTTTTTCATCGTCTATATTACTAATTCAAAACTACTATATTTACGTGTATATGATTCATTTATTTTTTTTTTCTGATTAAATAAAATAAACCTAGAAGCCAAGCTTATAATATGATATAGATATATATTACTGTTAAAGATAAAAGAAAAAAAACACTTGTCAATATGATCCCATGAGGGACCAATGTGTGGAATTCATAAACTATAGTTATTGTTAACTTATGGTGTATTGTCAGACGAATTTAAATAATTTATTTAAAAAAAAATTTGAAATAATCAAAATATGATAACAAATTTTATAGGTGATACCCGCATTCTTTAACATTTCGAAAATGTTTACATTAAGAACAATTTATTAGATTCATTTAACATCATTATAATGGAAAAAGTTTCCGAGCACAGCTTCCTTGGAGCTGACATATGAAACTCACATGTGTTTTGTAGCTTCATTATACAAATAGAGAGTATACAGAGGGAAAATTCTCTTGCAGACTATAGTTTTTTCCGAAATAATCGATTACCAGAGAAGTGATCGGTGTTATTTATCTCTGTATGTCGAATAGAATTCTTTTTCTATTTTTTACCTTTGTCTAGTTGAAATTCGCTTCTTATTTTTCTTTTCATACTGTGTTTTTCTTAATTTAACATTATTATTGTTTTAACTGTTGATCTGGTTAACAAATAAATGTGTTGTCCTCTACAGCTAGGTCTGCAAGAGGAAGGGGAGAGGAGCCACAGAAAAAACTTATTTTGCATTGCTGTTGAATGTAAATAGTTGTTAGTTAAATGAATATTTGTCGTTGTTGATAGTAGAAAAATACTTGGGACTTTTGAATATATTCATTTGATAGTAAGTTACATCATTTTTTTTCTATATTTCAATTCTAATTTTTTTAATGTTCATCGAAAATTTTACCTATGAAAAGTTGAGAAAATTCTACTTCTTTTTGTGGTTATTTTATAAACAGTATGTAAGATGTACGAAACTGTTCCTTACTAAAGGAGACTTTTCTTAATTAGTTTACTTCTCACAAAATCAAAAGTTTAACCAATATATTTACATCAGAATATCCCCATTTTTTTGGAGCTTTCAGCTGAAAAAGTTCCTTCCTATATCCTCAAAATCGTTGTGACTTTATGACAAACCATTGCAAATTAAAAGTTTTGAATATACATGGCACACAATAGAAGACTCATCGGAAAATATTTGCACGATTGGACACAAGTTTTCAAAAGATCAAGTTTTTGTAGATGAGAGTAATGTTTGTAGCCGAATGCTTTAAAATAATTCATCTGCCTAAAAGTATTTCTATACACGAATAAATCAAAGGTCCGTTCATAGATTCACGTTGAAGCGCACTTTCAACGTTATATTTTTGATAATTTCTCAATCTGTTCTATGTCTTTAACATTGATCTCTCTGCATACCATTTGCAGCAAAGATCTTTCTATTTCTTTAATAAATTGTTTAAATTTTTACTTACGAAAATCCTTTTTCATTAACCATATATGTTACAAGACCTTCCTCATCAGGATCAGTCCATTTAAGCTAAAATTCAATAGAAAAATTTCGAAAAAATAAACAACTAGTAAGAAAACAAACATCAGTTGCATCAGCTGGTAAAACTTCAGGTTCTTTAAATAATTGTCTTGCTTGTTCATAAGCCCAATCTTCAGGTACACCATATTTCTATTTAATCCAAAAATAGAAGAAAAATTTTACATACAAATAAATTCTATTGGATCTACTTTTTTATCGATATGTTTAAGAATAGTTTCAATATTACGATATTGTTTAATTAGATCAAGTGCACGTTTTTGTCCAATACCTTTTATTGAATCACAATAGTCGCAGCCAAGTAATATACATAAATCAGTAAACTAAATAAAACCAAAAGAAACATATGGGATGACATCCGAAGAAATAATATTCATACTTCTTCAAAATTAATTCCTAAATTGTGAAGAATTTTTGATAATGAATATTCACGAATAGGCATTTTTCTATAAATTCAAACATAAAAATTTTATTTTATATGCACATATTATATGGAACTAACCGTGCTTCACTAAAAGTCAAATGACGTACAAGTACATCAGCACCAAATGTCAAAGCCTAAATAAAAGATACAACAAAAAGTAAAAAGAAATAAAGAAACAGGACAATGGTGGATAAGATCGTTTTTCTGTTTCACAACAAAAATCGCGTTTTTTATCGTTTTGTAGCAAGATATAATGCTTGATGATATTCCATATGTCAGTTTTGTACAGCTGATCAACAAGTTCTTAAGGTCTGAAGTCCTCCACTAGGTTGTCTCGAAAACGTTTTATCTTTCATTCCATTAAAATGTATATTTTTTGATTGAGTCAAATGTGTGGATTACGAACATCAATATATTGAGTACGCAAAGCCTTTTAATGAACAAGAAAAACAATCCTATTATAGGTACTGCTTTATATTCTTTTTTCCACCTATGCATCTTCTTCTTTCTGTCAGCTGTACAAAAACTAACGTATGAAATACCATGAAGCATCATGTTTTACTATAGAATGATTAAAAAAAGTGAATATTGGTATGAAGTAGAAAAAAAAAGTCTTATCCACTCTTGTCCTTTCTCTTACATCCATATCTTCAGTTCCAACGCCATAAACTTTTCCTTGTTTAACAAGTGCTGCACATTCTTAAATAAAACAAAATAGGATAATCATTGAAAAAAGTATATATAAATAAATCTTACGTGCTTCAGCCTCTGTTGGTGCATCAACATATGGTATCCCCATCAGTTTTAATAAACGTTTACAATCTTCATTATGTTCTCGAGTTACTTTAACAGTTCGACGAACAAATTTATCAAATGCTTCTTCATCGCCTTAAAAAAAAAACAGGAATATTCTTTTTTTCTAAGGAAATTTTTGATCATTTTTTTTTCTATATGAAATGTTCATTTACCAGCATCAGCTGCTTTAGTCATTTCAGCTTCAGCTTCAGTACGTCGTTCAAGACGTTTTTCTAATTCTTTAGATTTCATTTGTGGTGCTTTTCCGTCAAATACATAAACTGGTTTAATACCATGGTCAATCATACGTATTGTTCGATAAAACATGCCCATTAAATGACTAGTTGTTTCACCATTATCATTTGTTAAATTTTCACCATTTTGTCGAACAGCAATTAGAAATTGATAAATAGACATTGAACTATCATTCAGAGAAAATTTATAAGAATATTGAATTTAATAACCTTCAGAGTTTTCTTATTCAATAGCAAGGTTTTTTTT